AGAGAGAGAGAGAGAGAGAGAGAGAGAGAGAGAGAGAGAGAGAGAGAGAGAGGCCTTTGGTTTTTGTTTTGTTCCAAGAGAGATCGTTTGCCATGTTGTTTTTTTTCCCATCAAAGACTTGCTACCCAGCTGGGACAAGAAATGTAGAGAGTGAAGGGTTGCATGCGAGTTTAGGTAGCTTGGCCTCATGCGGGAACCATGTTGTTCGCGTCAATGGTTGTACCTCTTCAGTCTTGGGGGTGCTCCCTTGTTACGGTAGGGAGGAAGCAGGAAGCACAGGGCGTGTTGTGAAGACGAGTTTTTTCGGCCAATCATGTCGCGGGATTTTTGCGTGTTTCTAGGTAGGGTCAAGGATAGCAACGACCCCACTTCGGTACCTCGTTCACACCACTTCAAGCACCTGCCAAAAGTCTGCGAATCAAGATCAACTGAGGCACACTCAACTGTTTCACGCGCATGGTAAGGGCGATCGATGATCACATACACCTTTTTCTCTTTTTTGCTCCGACCGGGCTGTTAAACAGGTGTGCTGGGCCCAGGAGGAGCCGAAGAACATGGGCGCTTGGAGCTTCGTCCGGCCGTGCATCGAGACCTCGACCCTCAAGCTGAACAACATGGAGAGGAAGCCGCGCTACATCGGCAGGCCGACCGCTGCTGCTCCGGCAACGGGCCTCAGCAAGGTACTTGTCCCGTGATTCCTTATTCCCACTTTAGTACAGAAAACGCAAGGATGATATAATGACCAACTTCTGGTGCATAGGGTTGGGGTAAGGGTTTTTGATGGCCAGCATCTGGCTCATCCTCGTGAAACGTACAAAAGCCTGGGCCAGTGAAATCCCGGCATGTTGCTCCGTCCCGGATGCGAGGTCTATGGTCTAATGACTGCGGGATGCGGCTACATTAGTACACCCCCAAACTTAACGCACACATGTGAAATCATCCCGCTCATTTTCGCACCTGTAGAGCTGATCTTTGGTGTTGGTTTGCACCTATCACCCGTTCCGTTTCTTTCCGAGGTGTTTTGCGAAACACATTCTCTTCGCCGGTCTCAGATTTGCCGCAGGAACTTGAAGCGACGTCATGAAGCGGTGGCCGGAAATTGGCCGTTCTGACCCAAGTTTCGTTCGTGCCGTTGGCGGGTTCCGCACCACTGTCTGATTTGACGAAAATATTGGCGCGATTGTTTGCTCTGACTGGTTTGTTTTTGTTTCCCCCGTGAGCGGCGTGTGTTGCAGCACTCAGTCCGAACCACGTGCACAGCATGGACCTACAACAGTGAGGGCTACTCATGATGCGTTATCAAGACCATGCAATACCCAAGTGATCATTACGATGATGCCCCGTGCCCGCGTGTCCAACCCCTTCCCCGATTCACTCCACGCGTTCAAGAAACAATTCAAATTTATTGGAAGCGATGTACGGGCGGGGGCGAGCGGGCGCGGGCGAGCGGGCGGGGTGGTTGAGTTTTGGCCGATTCACCCCTTCTCTGTAATGCACTTGTTTATCTTTGTGTGCGATTTACCTCTCTCGCCTCTGCCGTTGCTGGTTTTCCTGTCCTTCCTACGACCACCATCCGGAAGCTGCACGCCAAGGAGCTCAAGGACATCCTGGTCGAGGCCATCCACGAATAAACCGACCGACTGACCGTCAACACCATGCGGCGGTAAAAACCCGACTCGACGACCCCGGAAATATGCTTTTCCTGGACAAATCAACGGTGTACAACGGTATACTTGCCGTTTCGCCCACCCGGCGTTGCTGCACCCGTTTCCTACCGCACCACATTTTATAGAGCTTTCCTTGTCCAGCGCGCGAGAGTTGGTTGGCGGGTGGGCGAGTCCCGAGCAAACACGAGCGTCGTTCGACGGCAACCGTTCAGAAACGAGCGGAGTGCATAGTAGTTGTCATCAGCCCGAACGCCTGTGCAACGTTGGTGGCCGCGCGTGCATGCGTGACTCTGGCGGGCACGTGTGTACCCGTAGGTCAGAGCTGCTGTTTTTCGTGGGGTCGTTTGTGATGTTTTGGTTGTTCACCCTCCACCCGGGGTACCTACGGGTTTCCGGTGTTGTGTGGGCCATGCGGCATCATCAGCTGTTTTCCGAGTGATTGTGGAAGGTATTGCCCGTCCCGCTGACGTTCGAAGGCCTTTTCTACCGGGCGGAAGGCTTGGGATGACGTCGAGTGTGGGATGCAGAACGGCGAGGAACGGGAACCGGACGGAAATTTGGATGGGCTGGGGTATAATTGGCGTGACTTGTGCGTTCAGGATGTACACCCCGGTTTTTTTTTGGTTGCTGTAAGGAGAAATTTCCTGTATACGTGGGAGACTTTTAATTGTGTCTGATGGAGATGTTTCCGTATTTCCTCCACAGGTGGGAAACATCAAGGTCTCTGATGTTCGGCGGGTAGAAGATGATGTCCCGGTTCCGGTGCTTGTTTACCCTGTACCGTCCGTGGCAGTTTGTCATGAGGTTTTCGTCAGTGAAACGGGGTGGTGTGCCGTACGCTCACCGAGCTGTGTGAAGAAAGGTTTCGGGTGCAACCAATAAAACATCCTTGAGAGTCGTGCAGAAGAACCGTGCAGTGTTTCGGGTCACTTTACCTCCAACATGACCCGGTGGTTGATGCCGCCTGCCCTGGGCACTCTTTTTTTTTTGTTATTTGTCAGTTTTTTTGTTATCTGGCAACTGATCTTGATCTTTCAAGGAAGGCTTGCTGGCCACAGCCCGTTCCTTGCCGCTATTTCCAGGCGATTTACGGGGATACCGATGCCCACAACCCGCTTTTGTATGCTTCGTTGGTTAACATGGACTGCGCTCATCAGCCCCCTCGTCAGCAAGACGTCACGGCGGTGTCTTTCGGACATGATGGTTAAACTCTTCCGAAGTCTCGTGCGTTCTCACTGCTGTGTGTTGCGTTTCACTCAACAGTCATTTTAGCTGAGTGTTGCGATGTAACGAATCGAAACGCACCAAATTAACATCGCGTTCGCTTCCTTGCCGAGGATGGCGTCATAGCCGCGAGGACCTGGGGAATTCTCCCCAACCTGCACTCGTCGAATTCCACTCGTTCGGTTTTGGCACGCTCCCCTGAAAATAGCTGCGCCCGTGCATAAATATTTGGACTACAGAGGGTAGCTGTGTGTGTTACAAGTTGTAGAAAAATTACGTGCAGCATGACGATTTCGCTCATATTTGGCTGAAACCATTGTCTTCCTCACAGCCCCGGAAAGATCCGAGAGTATCTCATCCTCCTCCACACCACGCAGCGCCAGACAACGAAGTTAACACAACGACCTCAAACGGCTGCTGCTTTTGCTGCTTTTGCTGACTTTGCTGCTGCTGCTGCTGACTTTGCTGCTTCCCCTCCACGTCCAAAACCGTTGCATGAGGTGCACCCTCATTTCTATCTCTGCCTTGACGGACACGTTTTAGTGCAATTTGCATCCACCTGCCATACCTCCTCGCCAATGTTTTGGCTTCGACGGGATGAACCGGAGTCCACATGAAACCGGTTATGAAGGGTGGTCGCTCAGACGTGCAATACACGCATGCAGGTCTTCTACGTCGGCAGTGTGTAGACATATAGTCTAAGCTGCATATTTTCTTTCGGACGGTACAGTCGTTGCCCTATCCATCGAAACGTTCAAATTTGTCGCAAATATTGAAAAAGGTTGGTATGCGATAGAGTCGAAGCCTCGAGAGAGCGCGTAGGGATAGTAGAGACAGGATAGTTCTGAGACCATCCCACCCCCTCCACACTCACTTTTTTGCTGCGATAATTTGGAGGTTATCCCTCCCCGGTGCTGTGAGAGCGCGGAGCGTATCCACAGGCGAGGACCTCTACGGATGCTTTTGAAGGCCTTGCCAAATCTAATTATACGCCAAATGATCCAGTCCAAGGAAGAGAGTGTGGTTTTCTCCCTTTCACTGCAAAGACTTCATCACCCCCTGTTGGGTAAACGGGGTAGGCCGAAGCTTGTAGGTTTGTGAGAAAGGCAGCTCGGCCAGTGAGGGCCGAGATGAGACAGTCTTGTAATAGAAGGGAGAGGGGACAGCAGAGAACATTCGTGTCCGAGGACCCGAAGAGAAACTCAGAACACTCATCCGTCACCCAATTCAGATCACCCATCGAATCTCCGAAGAAACTCTAATAAGCAGAAACTTGAAGACCGGAGAAAAAATGTGAAGAGGAACAAAATAATACGTGAAGCGATCGGAATCAGGCCGCACCGTTGGCACGACATGCACCGCTCTTCGAAGCCAAACGTCGCGGCCTGTCCAACTCACGTGTATATACCCCACGCATATTTCTCCATCGCATACCAGACCTGAGGTGAGACTTTCATGCAGGCTTAGCATGCAGCCTGGAGTTGGCACTGCACCTATTGTTGACCCAGAAAGAATTTTGGACCTCACGTGTCACGTGTCACGTACTTGTACCCCAGAAGTTATTGGCGAAGGATAGCGTTGACATGCTTCGCGTAGCCTGCGAACATGTCACACTGTGATTCTGCTAATACCAAGGTACTTCCCGATATTTTTCCAGCGAACATGGGCGTTGATCGCCGTCCCGGACGCAAAGCCCTCCGCCTTGCTGAAGGAGGTCATACCTCCGCGGAACCCGTCGATCAATCCTCTGACTTTCACGTGCTCCGAACCGCTTGAAGGGTAATCTGTCAGACAAAAAGATGCTGCTGGACCGCAATGGTGGTTGGTGATTTTTTAGTGTGAACATCCGTTCTCTCACACCTACATCTTTCATTAAAGTCAAAAATTCGTCCGTGCAGTGCGAATTCGACTGTTGGCGGATGCTTCGTAAGAAGTCAATCTCCACAGTCTATTTTATATGAGGTATGTTAAAACATTAACCACAGTCTTCAGTACAATGTTGACAGGATGCTTATACGTTGTAGGTAGTTCTGAGGCGCACTTCTTCGTATCACCTTGTGTATTGCCGGTCCGGTGTACTCTTGACAAAAGCAGCAATTCCTCTGCCCATGTCTGCAACCCTCGAACCTCTCCCACTGCTGCCATGTTAGGACCTTTTCGTTCCAACCGCCACTGTTGTTGCGTGCACACTGATTGGAGGAGCTGCGTGATCAACGTGTGTGTCTTCTTGGTCTTCTAAGACCTCGGACGTCCAAACGGTCCACGTAGCTTGAAACGCTGTGTGCTCGCCGAACACCAGCAAGGGCCGACCATGTGGTGAGGGATGAATGTTATGTTTGTTGGTCCCATTTCGTCTGACCCAAATCAAAATATCATCCGGGTGTATTGTTGGACGTATGAGCCGGGGTGATGCAGCAGGAGGAAGCTCACGAGGTCATACAGGAGCCAAGGTATTTTGGTCGTCCCATCTTTCCTCCTGATATACTTGTCATGTATGTTGTCGCGAAGATAGTCCAGCCGTCATTTTTCTGGTCGACCGTTATGCCGAAGTGCATTTACTGATGAATTCATTCGCTCTCCACCGTCCATAAATTGATTTAGCAAAGAGAACCCAGAGAGAATCGAACCCACATCCTGCTACCAGTAGGTTTACAAGGTTAACCAACAACTGGGGCGACCAGAGAGATGTGACAGTATCGGCCAGCAAAACAACAGGCTGATAAGCGATTTACCAAAGCTTTCGGGTGAACAAATGCTGTGGGAACGTTTTGCATGGTGCGTGTTGTGCCAGACCTTCCTCAACA